GAGGCTGACACAGTCTCAAGAAAATTCTCCAGATTCCAAGATCTGGCCGAGAGGACAGGGCCCTGGAGTAGCCCAAACTCTCCGCTCTAATCCTTTAGGCCTAAAATGTCAGCATGATCGCAGCATCTCCCTCTTGCCACACACCCAGTGAGTGACCTATTCTTAACTATTTCTTCCTTAATAGCAATGTCTTAACGTTCGACATGGAACATTGTTTTTGCACACAGAACCATCTGACCTCACCACAGACCCATGAATTAGGCAGGGTAGGAATGATTGTCTCCGTTTCAGAGATAAGAAATCGCTAGGACTCAGAAATGAAGTGACTTGTCCAAGGTCACATGACAATTAAGTGGCAATTCTTGCTAGAATGAAGGTCTTTGTGACCCCCATGTCCTTTTTTTTTTCCATAAACAAAATTCTTTTTTCTCAAGAACTTTGGATTTAGTTCCTTTCCATTTCCAACAGCTTCAGTCTAATTAAGGCCCTCATTTCTTCATTTAGCAAACACTTGTTATGATGAATGAAATGTCGTCCTTGCTGCTCATGGACAGCGTAGAGAGGCCCATTAAACCACAGTGAGCCAAAATGGCAAGTGAAGAAAATTGTGGGAGGAGCTTTTGAGCCAACCTGCTCCGGAGTTGGGAATTACTGACCGGATTCATGGGCGAGGCGTCTTCTTGGCGGTCTCCAAAGGATGAAGTGTTTTCAGACTGAGTAGCCTGAAGACGGGCATCCTATAAAGAGCAAGCATGTGTCCAAAGAAAGAGGACTTGTCCGGGAACTCAGTAGTGGTCCTGTGGCAGGTGGTGATGGGTACGCCGCAAAGGGGAGGCAAGCAAGACTGCCTCCCGGGCACAACCAGATGTTTTGAAATTGCCCACCCTGGGCCCTGAGCTCCCAAGAGTTCAGGTGCATCTGAATAGCCTGCCCTTCTTTGTGCCCCTTCATCAGTCCTGCAGGAGACTGACTCCCTGTGATCAAGAACTGCCCCTCAGGCCGAGAGCTCCCCAAGGAAAGGGTTTTCTCAAAGAACTTGAGTGGGAGTCAGAGACCTGTATTGTTACCTTTTCAGACTCCAGAGGACTCCTGGGTACTCTCTTTCAGGAGGATTGAAAGGTACAGCTGAGCCCAGCCAGCCTCAGTTTACTGGACAGGGCTCGTTTGTCATATGTGGGGAGGCGTGGGCAGATGGATAGGTTATAGAATTCTAGAATTCTGTCAAACAAGAGGCCAGACACCTTGATGTTAATGGAGTTTGAACCCACTGCCAGGCATTTTCCATGTCCTGGTCATTTAAACTCTAGGACTGCCCAGTCCTTATTTTACATAGAAGGCAACCCAGGTTCAGAGCAGTTAAGAATCTTGCCCAAGTCACACAGCCAGTTGGGTGCCCATGTCTGCATCCCCAGCACCGCTTTGGTGCCTCTCCCCCTACCCTGCTGTTGTCCATCCTTCGCACAAGGGTTTATTCAACCTCTGATTGTGACCCTGGGCTGGACCTTGGAGCGCCAGGGCCTGTGTGTCTGTCTTGAGGGACACCCTTCCCATCTTGAAAGCAGGACTAGTCAGAGTGACTGAGGCTTCCAGTGGGCCGAATGATACCCAGCCTTGGGCAGTGGTCAAGGCCAGAGGCTGATAGAGGGAACTTAGGAATTTAAGAGTCTCCAAGAAGGAGCCTTCAGAACTGCCTCTTCCTCACCCAGGGCAGGAAGGTCCTGGGGGCCAGGCGCTGGCAGCTTTGGCCCTCTGCAATTGGGGACCCTGGCCAGTGGCCTCTCAGGGGCCAGCACTAAGAGGCACTCAGGGTGGCGGGTTCCCCACCGAATACGAGTCACTGCTAGAGCCAGGGCGGCCCCAGGGGGTAGGGGTGGGGACAACAGGGCTGTCGAAGACCTAAAGGAGGCCAAGGCCACCCGGCGGTGAGAAAAATAAGTTCAGCCCGAGCACCCGGCGGCACCCGCAGCTCTGTGCACACGCGGGCGCTCTGCCCACCCCAATGGGGGCTCCCAGCGCACGGCCCGCCCCCACTCCTCAGGGCGGGGTTGGGACTAGGCTCCTGCTGGGTCTTGGCCTTCCAGAAAGTTCCCTGGGAAAGCTCGAGCGCAGAGGTCACGGGCGGGGGCACCGGGAACGAGCAGCTGAGGAGGGGGAAGCGGACGGTGGGCACTTCCGGGGCCATGGGCCCGAGACCCCTTCCTTGCGGCCCGCGCACGGGACAGCGAACAGACGCCCTTGGGCCGGGGCGCCGGCTTCCCCTCCTACCATCACCCCCAGCTCACCAGGCCCCCACCCCGCCTCCGACGGGGCGGTGTCGCGACATGGGCCCACCCCTGGCCCGGGCGGTGGTGGGCTCCACGCCCCTCCCCTGCCCGCCCCCGCCCCCGCCCTCTTCGGGCCCAGGGCCCCACTGCTCCCCTCTCCTGCCCCGGGAGGAGGGAAAACCTCCGGCCTCTCGGGACCATCCTCGGGGACACTGGGGGAGGGGCAGGGAAGAGACTTGTGCCTTGCGCGCCCGGACCCGTCTTCCCGCCTCGCTCCGTGGGGACCCAGAAGGCAGAAGGTCAAGGTTTTATTTTATTTAGTGAAACATTTGTTAGTGGATCTTCCGTGAAGACGTCCTGAGTGTGTGTGTGCAGGGGGAGGGAGCCAGGCAAAACGGAGCTCACTCCCCTCCCCCCAACTCGGCCGGGCCTCCTGGCCTCCCTCCCACAGCCTCTCAGCCAATCATTCTTCCAGGCCCCGGCCCAAGTCCCAACTTGCCCAAGAGCTGGGCCTCCACCGGGAGAGGCTGGGGTGGGAGAAGAGTCAGGTGACCCAGAGGGCGGAGGCTGAGACCCGGCAGCCCCGCCCCCGAGTCACGGCCAACTCTGAACCGGAGACGTGCACCACTCTTGCACCTTCACCAGGGAGCCTGGGTGTTTGGGCGGGAGAGGAGGTGTCCATGTGAAGCCGCGGGGAAGGATGGGCTCTTAAATGGAAGGGAGCGGTGCAAAGGCAAACCCTGAGTGGTGGGGGGACAGAGTTAATGCTGTTCTCCTAAACCCTAGAAAGGCTCAGGGCACAGCAGGACAGGGAGCTCATAGCCACCTCAGTTGGCTACAGACCCCTCCACCGAGAGTCACCTCTTCTGGGTCCGGAACTGTCGGAAGAGCCACTGGACGATGAAGGGCCACAGGAGGAAGAAGAGCAGCGTGGGACCTGAGAGCCTGAGGGGCCATGGCCGGGCACTGGGTGGGGTCCTCTGCTGCCGAGAGGGAGGGAGTCAGGGGCCTGCCCAGGCTTCAGCACAGACCCGGCAATTCCTTGGGCACCTGCTTCCCGAGCTGACCTAAGTGGGAGCTTGCGCCTCCCTAAGACCTTAAGAACTGAGGCCGGGAAGGCCTCCTTCCACTAGAATCTGCACCACTAGAAGGGAAAGGCTCCTGAGGTTCCCAGTGTGTCCCTGACAGCTCGCCTCCAGTGTCCTCCTGCATCGTCCTCCCAGGGCAGTCCCGGGGTGCGGGGGGTGGGGTTGGGGCTGCCCGGTGGAGAGACTGGCTCCTAGGTGGTTCCTACTGGGCCACAAAGCAGTGGCCCCGTTGGTGTGGCCTGAACACCCAATATGATAAAGGATGTGCCATATATTTCAAATGGTGCTCAGATTTTAGCTTCTAAATATCAATGTCTGCTAAAAGGAGTCAGGGCTCCTTGGAGAAGTGGCTAATTCCAGGTCCAGAGCAGGGAAGGTAGAGGTGAATGTGGGACATTTTGTACCAGAAAACAAGAAAGCTTTTAAAGATTAAGGAGGTCATGTTATAAGAACACAGGGCCCAGCTTCAAAGAGCCTCCATTGACCAAAATTGTGAGACAGTCTAAGCATCACAAAGAATAATTTCAGTTGATTGAGATACTGAATCTTTAAAATCCATTAGTCCCTAATGGACTAACTTTCTGGAAGAGAAAGTTGGAAATTTGTCACTGCTGAGGTGGCTGTTCAATGAATCCTTACTTTAAAACAGGTAATTAAAGAGAATGAATGAAGCATTTACTCTGCCTTTCCATAAGGCACTGTATCAGGGAAATCCTAAATGGAACTCTCTAGAAAAGTATCGCCCTCATCAATGTTAAAGGAATCAGAGAATTTAAAAGTCAACATTTCTTTTTCCCAAATAAATGACTGATCCAGGCAAGGCTTATCCATTAATTGTGTCAAAAATCACGTGGCAACTGGAAGTCATGGGGAGCAGGACATGCCCTGGCTGGCAAGAGGAAAACATGACTTAACAGTAGTGACATCATACTGTCACCCCTTCTACATCCACGCTAGAATCATTAACGGCGGGACATTCAGATACATGCCCGCTGATGTGAAGAATGTCACATCTGACATACTCTGGTCATGGAAACTAGCCAGGAGGATGTCATCAGAGAGACCCAGAAAGGAACCTTCTACTGGACCACTGGCCCTGTCTCAGTAAGTCGGTAGCAAGGAGAAAGCCATGGTCTGGATTAAAGGAGTCTTAAAGGACAGAGAAGCCAAATGCAGCACGTGTGCCCAGTCTGGACAGACAGAGCAGCCGGAAAAGGCAATTTCGGGACAGCTGGGGACATTTCGCTTTGGACTGGGGACATGACGATATTGAAGTGTGTGCTAACATATCGTCCGGGCTAGGTAGTGGAGTGTTCTTATTTTTAGAGATGGAAAACCAGCTGTTTCAGGGCGGAAATCTTTTAAACTCTTCATCATATGAGTTAAAAGTAAAATCAATAGGGGCGCCTGGGTGGCTTAGTTGGTTGAGCGTCCGACTTTCATTTAGGTCATGATCTCGCGGTTCGTGGGTTCGAGCCCCGCGTCGGGCTCTGTGCTGACTGCCAGCTCAGAGCCTGGAGCCTGTTTCGGAGTCTGTGACTCCCTCTCTCTCTGACCCTCCCCTGCTCACGCTGTCTCTCTCTCTCTCTCTCTCTCTCCCCCCCCCAGAAATAAATAAAACATTAAAAAAAAAATTTAAAAAAAAAGTAAAATCAATAAATAAAGCCTTGCGGGGGTGGGCGTTGAAAGGTGGGTCCGAGGGAATTCCTGCCACCCTGGCGGACACCCACGGTGTCAAGGGAGTTCGGGTCACCCACGTGATCCCCATGCCTAGCAATTCAGCCGTTTCCTGGCCCCACCACCCCAGGCTTCTCAAGAACAGACCTACTCCGTCAGTGGGGAGTCCCAGCTCTGGAGGAAGATCTGAGGCTGCTCGCAGCTCCATCACGGGATGTTAATACTAAGAGTAATAGTAACAATGAAGCCCATTGGAGAAGGCCTTTCTGTGTAATGGGCACTATCTCATCTAAGCCTCATAGCAGCTCTGTGAGGTTCCTCTGGGCTGCGAGCTCTCAGGTGAATTACCCAGCCTCTCAGAGACTTGGTTTCCTCTTCTGTAAATGGGAAATGATAAAAGCAAAACAAATTCCCAGGGTTGTGCGGATTAAATGAGATACGGGGAGTACGCGTCTGCCACTCAGCTGGGGCTCCGAGAATGGTGGCAGCGACTGATTCTGCAGGAGCTCAGGAGCAGAGGTGTAAGGGCCGAGCAGATCTAGGAGTAGAGGGGAGGGCGTGAGGGGTGCAAGGGCTGAATCATTCGGGAGCAAACCCTAAATCTGGCAACAGGGACCCCCGGCCCCAGTGCCAAGAGCAGGCACACCCTGGCCTTCCAACCTGTTGGAATTAGTCCTCGTGTTCAGTGTCTCTTCTAGCCGGGAAGTAAGAGCAGGAAAGGAGCGCCTTTCCCATTCTCCCTTCCAGGGTGGAGGCGCTGCAGCCCCCCTGCCTGGCCTGTCTGCATCATGAGCCACACCACTCTGAAGGAGGCAGAGATGCGGGGGGGTGGGGGGGTGGGGGTGGGGCGGAGTTAGGACGGAAGTGGCTTCCAGGAGGAGGCCAGAACAGAGGCCCTTGCAGTTCTGCCTCTATCTTGCCCAGGGCGTCAGGGGTGGGGGGTGGGGGGCGGCTCACCTGCTCGAGGAGGCGGGGCCTGCCCTCCAGGTTCTGCAGTCTACCCTGCACATCTCGCATGCTCTCCTGCAGCGCGTGAACTGTCCCCACCAGCCACGTGTCCAATTCCTGGGGCCCCAGCGGGCTGCCCTCTGCAGAGCACAGACACACAGGGAAGGGGACTCAGGAGGCAACTTGGCTAGGGACAGGGTGGTGGCAGGCTGGGGCAGGTCTGGGGAAAAGTCATCAGGGAGCGCAGTCCCTTGTACCACATGTGACTTCTCTAAAGTCCATCCGTGTGGCTGAGTAATTGGCTGCCAGGGGCTTGAATCCCAGCATTGCCACTCAGCTGTGTGACTTTGGCCAAGTCAGAAGCTTCTCTGAGCCTCATTTTTGTCATCCGACAGTTAGGGGGAAATGTCATCACCTTCACAGGGCTGCTTACTCAGAGGAATAAAGGAGATAATATTTATGAAAGTGCCCTTACAGGGATGTGGCACATATGGAAATGCTAGATGGGGACTGGACAGAAACCATTGTCCTTTGAGAGTCCCAAATGAGAGGCCGGGCAGGGACTTTGCCCATCTAGGGTGATGTCTGGCTGTGTGGCAAGTGCCCGGTGCTGGACTTTCACCTGGGCCCCAAGAAGGCGGCACCAGAGTCACAGGGAATGGCGGAAGTGGGTGAAGCTTCGGACAGGGGCTCACCTTTCTCTGCAGGGAGCAGGGAGCTGTTTCTGGGCTCAGGCTCTCCCCCAGGGGCTCCCCTCTGCTCTGTCCAGACCTGCTGAGAGGAGTCACAGGATCCAAGGGTGGGAGGGGGGCCGCCAGGGCACCGTGGGGCACGGAAGGCAGGGAGTGAGGGGTGGTCTCACCAGCTCGGGCTCCAGCTGCTCCAGGGAATCACAGAAAACCTCTGAGTCCAGGTCCCTAGGTGGCTGGGACTCTGGGGGAGGGGACAAGTAACATTAGAGACAAGAGGGAGGCTATGGAAAAAGGAGAGGGGTGTTCAAGGAGCCAGAGGCACCTGCTGTGGGAACACTAGAGATAAGGCCACAGTAGGCGTAGATGGGCCCCAGAAGTGAGGTCCTGGAAACAGAATCCCAGAACCTGCCCCCTGGCCTTTGTGATGCAGGAAGTCTCAGTGTCCGTGGGCATGAGGTGTGCCATCCAGCCTTCTCTCCTTGCCCACCCCACCCACCCTCCGGGTTTGGCTCTTTGTCCCTCCACCCAGGCACTGACCTGGATTTGGGACTGCTGGCTCCCGGGGGAGGCAGGGAAACTCTGGGGCAGCCCCAGCCCCTCCATTCGGTGCCTGCTCTTTCCAGCCTGCCGAGACAGAGCACCGAGAGGTGGGGCTGGGAAGAGGCTGGTGCTTCCCAGTGAGATTAGCCCCTGCTCCTCACGAGCCATGGGCTCTGCCCGAGACCCACTCCATCAGCACCACTGGCTGGGGTGTCTACGGGGATGTCACCTGGAGCCCTCTGCCCCCAAATCCCCCTCCAACTGAGCAGCCCCCTCCACCTGGACCTCAGAAAGTTCACTCGGCACTTGAGCTCCAGACCTGGGGGCCTGACCTGTGACCCTTCTCAGGAAGGTTTCCGGGGGCCGCGGCATATCAGGGATCACCTGGTACAGGGGCTCGAAGTAAGCAAACATGTCCTCTGCCACCTCGCCCAGGGGCACTGTGTCGATCACCTGTGGGGGAGGGGGTCGCTGTCGTTCTATCCCACTTGAACTGGGTCCCAGTCAGGGACCAGAGACAAGCAAGGTTAGAGAGATGGCATGAAGGTAGTAATTCCCACAGGGGTGTTAATGTGCAGGACACAGAATGGGGGTCAGCCCTGGAAGGGCAGAAGATAGGCCACCTGCTGGGACCTTGGGGATGGAAAGAAACCTGCAGCCTCTCCCTACCTTCTGTGCCACCAGCTTCATCTCACTGATGTAGGCAGACATGGCTTCCTCTCTGCTCATCTTCCCTAGGCTGTTCCAGGCATCCCTGGGGGGGAAGGGGGGGCGCAGAGAGCTGTGAGAGGCAGATTGACAGCTGAGGCTTGTTTGCCGGGTGGGTAGGGGGCTCACCACTTATATCGTCCAATTGGGTCCCAGAACCCAGGCCGGGGGACCAGGCAGGGCCCCATGGTAGCTTGTTTGTAGTAGCTATAAAATCTCAGCATTTCTTCATAGGAGGGGCGGTAAGAGCCTGGGCAGGGGGTGGAAGGCATTGGATCACCCCCAGCTCCAAGAGAATGGAAGTGGGGGGAGAACCACCCACCCTTGGAATGGGCAGAGATGGTGAGGGGTCCCACCCAGCTTGGACAGGGACAGGAGGCAGAGGAGATCCCCAGGGCGGCCCACGCAGGGACTTATCTGCAAAAACTATAAGGATCAGAGCCTCCTGGGAGGCAGACCCCAATCTTCTTGACCCCCAAGTGCAGGTCCCCAGCGCCCTCACCATTCTTAGGCAGGTTCTGAATGACACTGACTGCGGCCTGGAACTGCTTCTGGCAGTCCGGTTCTGGGCTTTCATTCTCGGTACCCATACCGCGCGGCTCCGAACCTTGGGAACCTACTTTTGAGCGACTCTACAAGAACAAGCCTCCGTATGAGCGGACCTCCACGGTCCACCCCGGCACGCACCTCCGTGAGCCACTGGTCCACTCTCCAGAGGGGCAAACTAAGCTCTAGACCTGAGCGAGGTACTCCGGGCGGTCAGAAGCTGCAGCTGAGACTCCTTTTCCTACCCCAGGGCAGCACGGGTCGGGGCCAGGGCGGGCGGATAGGACCTCGGTGGGTGAGCGGAGGCAGGTGCCCAGAGCCGTTGTCCCTCTCTAGACGCACATTTCCAACTCCTAGACCGGAGAATGGGCAAGCCAAGAGGAGTCAGGGCGGGGCCAACAGTCTCCCCACCTTGGGCCCCTACTTATTCTGCCCGGGGGTCCCCCACCCCTGCCGCCCGGCCAGCTGGCACTCACCCTGCTGCGCCTAATACGCGGACTCAGGTCCTGTCTTGCCACTAGCCGGAGGCTTCCGACTGACCTCCGGGCCCAATCTGACCGGGATGTGGACGCTGGGGGGGAATTTAAGCCAATGAGAGGGCTCCTTTCATCTTCTGCTTGTATCCCTCAACCACTCAGCGTGGTCCTTTCAAGATTATGCAAATAGTTTGGCTGTGGCTCTCCCAATCAGTAGAGGCGAATCCGCCGGCTGGCTCCCCCACCTTGGAGGGCCAGAGGCGGGAGGCAGCGCCACCTGGTGGACGTAGTAAAATGACGCCGAGTCCTCGCGCCCCCTGGTGGAAAACTGTGTCTGTCCTGCAAATCCGAGCGACCCAATTCAGCTCATTAGACCCCGCCAGGCGCTGGGGAGAGTAAAAGGAGTTATGTCCTGGAAGAAGAGAGGATTCTGAAGGGGTTCAGCAGGAGGAGCATTGGAGCTGAGTTTTGGAAAACCTAAGTGTAAGCCGGGAGAAGAATGAGGAAAGTAATTCCTGGAGGAAGGAATTGCAGGATCAAAAGTACAAAAAGAATATCCAGACAGGGATGGGTATCCAAACCAGTATGCCAAATCTTTGGGTCGAGGGTATCTGGGAATGGGCTAGAGCAAGTAGGTGGCAAATCTAGGTCTTGAGAAACTAAGCTTTCCCTTCAAGATGCCACGCTCTTGGCTGCCGCCGAGTGGCGGTGTGCTCCCAGCTCTCCGCACCCAATTTAGGGTAATTTCTGCAGACAACGTTAAAATAATTAGTCTCCTGCCATCCCACCCTTGAAGCGCAAATATTCTGATGGTTTCAAATAGAGTGAGACGGTCACCCACGGGTTGATGTCACGGACATCTACACAGGGTGCGGCGGCCGTCTCCGGGCAATCGAACGCCTACTGGGACGCCAATCCTTCAAAGCCTCGAACCCAGCACCGGAGTTCTGGGGGGGATTCTGATGACTTAGTGCCACCCCATCTTCCCCAGACCGGTCAGCTTTGAGACTTCTGCCACTGAGGGGCTGGCACCTGACGCCGAGAGGGTTAATCCTATGACATCAGAGCCAGAGCCTTCCTACCCCCGACCACCACTTCCCGTTCCCCCACCCCTCCAGCTGGGGCTGCCCTCCAGCTTGGCTCTGCTCCTGGGGTTCCCTCGGCTTTCCGGGCCGGCCCGAGGACCCTTGGCCCAGGACGAGCCGCCCCGCAGATTTGGTCCCCCCAGTCTGGCTCCCTTCTGAGGCCTCCTGCGGGACAGGGAAGGGGAAGATGAAGCGAGAGGGGTCCTGAGCCCACACGAGTCAGGGTGCAGAGAACGGAGAGACTGTGCCAGAGGGCAATCCTCACCGCCTCGGCCGCCCCCTCCCCCCAACAGGGGCTCCCATCACCGGTGCTGCCGGGATCCGAGGACTGGGAAGAGAATGGGGAGGCGGACTCGCGAGATGGGGGAGGACGCGGACACTCGGGGGGCGGGGGGGGACGCGAGCCAGCCCCCTTCCCTTCCCACACCTCGCAGAGGGGGCACCTCCCGGCCTGGGGTCGCCACCGGCTCCCCCCACCCGCCGCCTCGCGCCTCCCCCAAGCCGTCCTCGGCTCCGCCCCCCTCCCTCCCAGTCCCTCCTTCTCTCGACCTCGTCCCTCCCTCTTTTCCCTGCTCCCGACACCTCCTGTCCCCGACTCCCTCCCGGCGCCGCTAAGTTTCTCCGCTCGGGACCGCGCGCAGAGCCGGGGCCGGGCCGGAGCGGCGCCCCCACTGCCCTGTCCCCGCGCGCAGACCCCGGGCCCGGCCCCGGCCCCACCGAGCCATGCTGTGCGGCCGCTGGAGGAGCTGTCGCCGCCGGCCCGAGGAGCCCCCGGTGCCGGCCCAGGTCGCGGCGCCCGTTCTGCTCGCGCCCCCGGACGGCGGCACCAAGAGGCCCGGGCTGCGGGCGCTGAAGAAGATGGGTCAGTGACCGGCGGGGGGCGGCTCGGGTGGGAGCCGACGGCCCCGGAGTCCGCCTGGGAGGGCCGGGGTGGGCTTGCCAGCTGCGAGGGGTGGTGCGGAGTCAGGCAAGGGTCGGAATGGCAGCACCGTTCCGGCGGGGGGTCGTACCTGGGGTCCCCCGACGTTCCCGGGAAGAGCGAGGCGCCCGGGTGGCCTTTGCTTCCCAGCAGGAGGCGCCCGCGGGGCGTGCCGGAATGGGCGTCTACGCGCCGGTCCCCGAGGACCTGGAAAATAGAGTGGGAGAGACAGGTTCGGGGTGTCCCTCACTCGCCTCCCCAACCCCCTATGCCCTCTAGGGTCTGCGGGCGCCCCCGGGCATCCTGGGTTCTTGGCCGCCCTTAGGACGGCAGGAGAGCTGTGGAAGAGGCAGGCCTCTCAAGCCAGCCCTCCAACCCTGCAGCCCCCACAGGGGTTGCGGAGGCCACATAGCACTGGTAGGACTGGTCTAACTGGTGAGAATGTTCCCCTTGGAGTCAGAAGGGCAGAGTTCCTGTCTCAGGTTTGGGGGAAGTCACTGCAGGGAAGGAATGTAGCTGTGGCTTGGTAAGCATCTCCCAGAGACTGGCCTGCCCCTGGGCAGCTACATAGGTAATATCGTTCAATTTTCCTCACCCTCCTGAGAGGTCCCAGGTATAATTCCCATTTCACAGAGGAGAAAACCGATGCGGAGAAGTCAAAGAATTTGTCGATGACCGCACAGCTTGTTAAGGGCAAAGGCTAGCATGGTGGCTGCACCCAGCCGCACTGCCCCTGGTACCCTCTCAGAGTCTGAGCAAAGTGTGACTGACTGGCTTGAATGAGGGGTGTGTGTGTGTGTGTGTGTGTGTGTGCACGCGCGCATATTTTATAAAATGTAAAGTACCGAGAAACTGAGTGGTGTATTGGAAGTGCTGTTATTAAATACTTAATGATGGAAACGTGGGGCTGGGGCTGGGGGAACGGGGCAGAGCTGCCCAGGAGATCAGTGTGAATCTTGGGGCAGAATTCAGGGGCTCCGATTGCCAGTCTTGCCTTCTCTTTGACGCTGCCTCACTTGTTCTTACTCTGCCTCCTGTCGCTCATTCGATCTGAATTGACTGAGAGCGTTGACTATGTCTGAGCGAGCCTGGCATTCTCCTCAAGGAGACTAAGACACGCGATCGTTGCTCGCCTGCCCAATCATTCATGCATCCAGCAGACATTTATTGGGTGCCTACGGTATGCTCTGTCCCGGGATTCAGCGACAAACAAGATAGACACAGTTCTGGCCCTTTAGAGAGCTGAGGCCTCAGCAAGGAGGCAGAGAAAGAAGACTAGGAAGGGAGAGGGCAAGTCAAATGCTGGGGAGCCAGCTAGAGCCCCGCCTGCATCCCAGAGCTGGAGGGAGACTGGAGGGAGGCCCAGGGGAGTGGCAGGTGGGGGCCACATCCTCAAAGCCTCTCCTTATAGAGGCCAGCAGGAGCCCCAGAGGGTCTGAGGCAGAAGGAGGGAGGGAGAGCGTGTGCAGGGTAGGGGCACATTGTACAAAGGCAGGGGTGAATCGGGGAGACCCAGAGGAGGGAGGCTGAGGAATCAGTTGGTCAAGCCATGGTGGTACTCAGACTTGGGCCGGTGCAGCCCAAATGTGATTCCAGAACTGAGGGGCTGAACTGGGCTGGGCTCTGTGGACAGTGGGATCTGAAAGGTATCTCTGGTGAGTGGTGGTGTCATTCTTTGGGCTCAGGAGCAGCGGTGCCTTGGGCAGAGGAGGATGGCCATGGGGAGGGGAGGTGCCACCGAGAAACATCCAGGGCTGGTGTTGGGCCAGAGAAGCAGTTCTGGGAGTCACCCACCCACAGGGGTTGTGGCTGCCGGGAGGGCTGGGGTAATGCCCCTGCATACCCGCCTGCTTCATTCCCCACACGTTTGCTTGGCCCTATCAGTGTGCCACAGCGCTGTGCCAGGGACCAGGGCTCCGGAAATGAATAACACAGCACTTTGCCCTCAGGGAGCACACGGTTTAGTAGCCAGAGACACCTGAAGACAAGTCATTACGGCTGAGCCCAGGACTCAGCACTCAGTGGCTGAGTAAAGCCACACGGGACCTCAAGGCATCCTGTCATCGTGACGCCACTAGGAACTATGTGGGTGTCACAATGTCACCTGAGCCGTCCTTCCTTCCCACCACTGCCCTGTCCTGCTGAGTGACTGCCAAGAAAGGAATGTCCAGTTTCTGGGGCATGCAGGCTCCCTGGGCCTTACTGACTCCAGGGACAGGGTGGAGACTAGACCTGGGTGTCCTGGGGCCTGGCCCTTCAGGTGATCAAGGCCTAGGCCCGGCAACTAGGTACCTTCCCCTACCACGGCAACTCCGGCTCCTCCTGAGATGGCCCCCTGTCATGGCCAAGGCCACATCCCTTAGGCTAACAGAGAACAGATTTTATTTCAGGTCCCCTCGAGAGAGACCGGGGCAGGGAGTGGCTTGGAGGTCAAAGGCTCCGAGAAGCCCAAGGAAAAGAAAAGGCTTTTCAGGCCATCGTGGGGGGAACACCCAATGCGAATCACCTGTGGAGCCTGAGTCCTTCTCTTGTCCCCTTCCACCTTCACCGTCCCCCCTCCACCACCAGGGGCTGCAGGCTTAGCCTGTTCCCAGAAAGCCAGGGAATAGCTGGAGAGAACTTGAGCTCAGTGAGCACCTGCGACTAAGGCCAGACATAGTGATGAGCTTGCATCAGTCCAGAACCTACTTAATCCTTGGCACCCTGGGGGTGGGGGCAGGAGGGGGAAGGTGTTGCTGCTGTCCTCACTGGTGCCTACTGGGTGGAGGCGGTGAAGTCACCTTGTGCCAAGGCCCACAGGATGAAGAGGCAGCCGGCAAAGCCTGGTTTTCAATGATGGCTCTTTATTGCCAGAATTAAGGAACACTAATTAACACCTTGATAACACTACGCCGAGCACTTTTCACATATTAGTTCATTTAATGCCCACAATCGTCTGAGGTTTGTGGGATCTTCCGCCTCATTTTACAAATGAGAAACTGAGATTCACAGAAGTTCAAAGCTGGGAAGGAGCTGAGAGAGGATTTGAACCCAGGCATCTGGCAAAGAGTCTAAGCGTATGAGCGAGGGATTTATGAGCCGGAGACGGCCTGCTACTCCCATCCCCC